GGACTTGTGTCGCTTAAGTTTCGTCGGAACGAAGTTACGGAAAATCAATTAACGAAACGGAGACGTAACAATATATATATTTGGATACAGCAATTTCGAACTTTCCAACAATGTATGCAACATCTCCAAGAAACAATTACTGGACTTTTTTGTTCCTTACCCTGCCACCTCCCCCACCAAAACAAACATCCGTGGTAGCCAGAGTACAGGTAACTCATTGTGTTGCTTTGTGCTTAATAGATAATAAAATCAATCGAAATATATTGTATATTTTTTCTGATATTTGCGGATAAAGGGCATTAAAAGGCACACGGTATACCATATTTTCATGTATACGTTCGGAAGCAATAAATATTTTAGCTTTCACTAGATGGAGCTGTATTGAGTTTGTTTCGTTTTGCTGAAAAAATGTTAAATTTTGTTGATTCAAGTTGTGTCAGAAGTGATAAAATAACATGAAATGTGTGGTCGCTGATGTTATTTATATCGTATGATCACCTAAGTATATACTTTATTTTTTAATATACCAATTAGTTATTGTAATTTTTCAATTACCACACAGTATAATTTACTTTATTATATATGTTTTATGAGTATTGTACTAATATTTCACTTAAGATTAACTTAAATTGTTAATGTTATCGTGAGATTCGAATCATAGTTACGTCATAGTAATACATGTAGTTATTAATACGACCACTATTCTACTACTGCTACCAGTTACTAAGTTAGAGACTAACTGAACCCACCATTTGGGGTAGTTATTTCTTGCATCATTTGAAACCATTATTCGGGGTATTCATATCCTATATCATTTGAACTTTTTACTACTTCTCAGTAAACTAAGCATAAATCTAACGCAATTCCCCCGGTAATAGTACTTCCTATAGTAGAAACAGTAATTCAGGCATTCACATCTTGAGAAATTTGTTAAGATTATGGATTGGATGTGTATTGTTTGGTCAAGACTGTCCTTTTTATGACATGGAGACGAAAATAAATTTTAGTAGTGCAAAAGTAGCACTGCCTCAAACACACATTATTACATACATTCCTGTATCACCATAGACTATGACATGCTTGGCCACCAAACATTGAATTATCGTATCTAAATGACTCATAGAGAATTACCATAACCAATATTACCCACCCTGTCACAGTGTCAGTGTGATGCTCATGCTGTTCCATATCATTCCTTAACTTTATCCCCATTCACTAATGATAAATCTTGTCTCATGGCATCAAAATTGGCTTTCTGAAATTAAGCACTAAACTTTTTTGTCATTGTATCTCTACAGGAAACAAAACCTAATTATGTAAGGACAAGGATAACTTTTTTCTAAAACCTTCCCTCACTTCAACTCATGCAAGTATATCCTTAATAGTGGTTACCAATAAATCTAAAAAACGATATATAATTTTCTTTCATAGTCTCTGAGACCTAAATCACTTTAATAAAGCTCTCTTACTTGCGACATGGACCCATACAGTTCCAATCAAAATGAAAGGATCACAAGTTATTACATCAGTATCCTTATTAGTGAAAAATCATGACCTCGGTATACTATTTCTTGTTACATCATCTGTGGTCCTGTTGCCTGTAACCATTACCATTTAAAAACTGTATTTTTGAAACCTTTGACCGTACAGATTCAACATCTTGACTGCAATATTTTATGTCTTCATTCCCAACAGGGTGCAGTTCATCCCATATATAAAGAGCCACTATATCCCTATTTTAAGAAGTTTGTCGCTGTTAAACAAGTTATATTAAGCCTTGGAACTCAAAATAGTTTCTATTATCAAATCTCCAGAAGCTAATGAAGCTTCATTAATTTTCATTGATTCATACTCTTCCATTTCAACTTGATCCTTGAACTTGTCTATTTTGTTTTTGATACTCTTAACTTTAGAATAATACCAGTTAAGCTTATCTTTAAGGCTGGAAGACTTATCTTTAAAACTTTATTCTCAAAGTCTTTGCTAGTTTCTTTATTGATTGTTTTAGCTGTGCTATTAATTTGTTTGTTTCTAATTTTCAAAGCACCCCGACAACTTTGTAAGTTTAGTTTATACTGTTTGTAATGAATTTCTTTAGAGCTTCCCTTTATATCTCCCTACTTATCCTGTGTAAGTAGATGAAGTCATTATGTACCTTATGATTCACCTTTATCCTGAAACCTATCCCACAGGTCCAACCATCTCACCAGTTTCTCTAAGTATATTCCTGATAATCTTCCATTTAAGCTTTGTTTCTTGCTAAGTAATTCATTCTCATATATAATCCAAAGGAGTATTTCTGAATGGACTACATGTCCATTTTTGTCTCAAAACCTGTGAAGAATTTTTTTTTGTACTTTTTTTAAGAGACCTTCTAATTTCCAAGTTCAACATCATTGTTTCCTACATGCATTACAAAAAGAGAACACTCTTTAACACCACTAAATAAACTGTCAACATAATATACAATCTCATATACTATAGCTTCCGACTAGCAAGTTCTCCTTCTAGGCTTTATGTGTTCCCAACTACAAACAACTTCATCAGTGTTCTTAATGAGAAAGTTCCTTCCATTGTGTACACTTCTCGATCATTTCTTTCCTCATTGCAAGGAGCCAAAAGTTCAAACTAATCAGAGATTGGTACCTTAGCACTTAATAAAAGTGCATTCTTATTCCTAACATTTCACTTCTCCATTGTAAACACTACACTATCCTTTACTCCCTCTCCCAAAGCAACCTTTATCCTAAATATCCATTTTGTTTCTTGCTTTCTTTATTACCACTTCTAATCTACAGTTTCCCCATCTAATAGCACACACATGTGCATGCATATATTCTTAAAATACCTGGTCAGAAATAAATAGTATTATACATATGATAGACAAATAAAGTTAAGGTACAAGTTTTAGTATTAGAGTTATTGTTAACTTCTGATCAAAGCAGGCTACCTATGTAGATCAAAATTAAAGGTTAAATGAGTAATTGGTAATGAATACAGCTAATTTAATGTACTCTTATTATCTATAATTAGATGTTTTTGTAAGTTGTGTACTGTCATTGTTTATGGTATTTTTGACTGTATAGTAAATTTACCCTAATAAGATAGTTATTTGTAGATGCACAGCCCACACAGTGGTTGGGATATAGTTTATCAGGCTTAACCTGTATTCACAAGTCGCATATGAAAAATATCTTTCAAATGAATAGCATGTGTGTAGAGTTTGGTTAAGCCCATAATATTCTGTGTCTACTAGTGTTCAACTGTATCCAGGAAGACTTTCTCTTGAGAAACAAAGAAAAAACAAAACAGGTTACAAAATATTGTCCATTGGGAGTGATAAATAAAACTTGTAACTGAAACTTGTCATTCAGTCTCCATGATATTAACATCTTTATATAAACAGTGTAATCAAACATAAGATGCCAAGGTTAGTAACTACTATTGTTAAATGACAAAACAAAACAGGTTAAAAAATATTGTCCATTGGGAGTGATAAATAAAACTTGTAACTGAAACTTGTCATTCAGTCTCCATGATATTAACATCTTTATATAAACAGTGTAATGAAACATAAGATGCCAAGGTCAGTAAATACTATTGTTAAATGAAAAAAAAACAACTGAAATTACCCTCCAGAATTGAATAATGTATTACATTGTCCAAGTAACAAGGATGTTGTTAATAATAGACACTTAGTTGTTCAAATAGTTTTAGGCTGTTTTATTGTATTGTTCTATCATTAATGTAAGTGATTTTATTAGTTACTACATTGAAATTATTTATTGTTATTGAATTTTAAATTATAGTTTATTATTTACTTTTAACATAAAGATTGACTTGCATTGTTAGCTTAGGTTTTGTATTTAGCTCTAACCTGAATCTCCTGAGCTGGCTGAACCTCATGAGATATTATTGGGTTTATGGCTGAAAATATCAGTAGCAAGGATACCCAACTAATGAAACAATGCATTTTAATCTTTTTATATAGAAATGTAAGAATAGTGTAGTTGATGTGCTATGTTAGTAGCCAGATTGATTTTTAGCTCTGGGTACATAGCTTACTCTGATCAGAATGTAAAAAACAAAGTATTCTGGTTGTTATTTTTAAATATTAATATTAAGAATGAGCTTAAGTATCAGATATTGTAGTGTACTCTATCCCGAAATGAGCAGGATATATATACTATTGTAGTTATTAATATTCCAATTATTCAACATAATGTTAAAGAAAGTAACTCGGACTTTATATTTTATTACTATTTTAAGCAAATGTAAATATAATAAATTGAGTATAGTTATTATTTGTGAACTTTATATTTCCAATACTACATTAGTATAAATAGAAAACCTAATAAAATCTCTCATCTTTATTAAGAAGTTTAAAATTGGAAACTAAGTTGGTGTGTTAGAACATTAATCCAACAATAAATTTAATCTTAGACCATTTATATAAATATAAGTTTTCAACAGTGACTCTTGAAGCCAGTTTTTATTAATGTATTAAATTTGTGGTTAAAGTAATGAAGCAGTCTGATCTAACACTTTAGGTAGAAAAGGATGTCTCTCAAACAAGTCATAAAGTCAAAGTTTCGTTCAGAGAAACCTGACGTTGAAAAGGAACCAGACACTCCTCCGGGAGCTTCGGGAGGATTTCCGTATCGAAATTTTCATGAGGATGAGATGTGTTTGTTACATGAAGAAGTTCTTAGTCAAGAAGAGGTGAATGTTTGTTCCTACTAGTTTTTGTATTGTTGACCTACACTATCAAAATACAAGTCTTTCTTTTTTTTATAGTGATTAATAACCGTGATTTCTCTTCAGGAATGTAGTATACCTGTCAGAAGGTAATTTGGTAAGTACAAATAGGAAAAGTGATATTTGAGTGAGGAAATCCAGAGTGAGGCTTCTTCTTATGAATATACATGACCATAGAATGTAGCTTAGTGATATGAAAGAGTGTGAAACAAGTTAAAGCTTCACAGACATTAAATTCATTACCATGACAAACTGGTACACTGTGTGTAGCATCCCAACTTACAGTAACAAGTTAGGCCTGGCACAGTGTGTGTAGTATCCTAATTTACAATAACAAGTTAGGCCTAGCATAGTGTGTGCAGTATTCTAACGTACAATAACAAGTTAAGCCTTATGTTATTTTTATTATAGTTGTTTACATGCTAAGTTAACTGAGTGTTGATTTCTAATTAATCTACACAAGATGTCCACATTCTTTTAAAGTTCACAATCTGGCAATTTAAATATTATGTTTTATTAATACTTTTTGGATTAAAAGCTGTAAAACTATGTTTTTATAATGAAATTACAAATTAATTTGCTAGAATTTCACGAATAAATAATAATTTAAATTTGATTTAAGCCATTAAATTTAAATAAATAAATTTATTAGTTTCAGGATTAAACAAAAGCTTATAAAAATTCATAAAATTTTAAAGGGACAAAAGGGAGCTTATTAGCCCATCAAGGATGTCCCTTCCAGCTCCCAACTATAACCATCTCTTACTATTTATGTATTCATCCAATCTTTTCTTGAACTCAGTTACATTTTCTGCCTCCACAACCCTTGAAGGCAGCTCATTCCAAAAGCTAACTACCTTGTTTGAAATTAATACTGTCTAAACTGCAGACGACTCCTAAGTTGCCCAAATTTGAACTTATGACCCCTTGTCCTATTGTTTTTACCACTTAACACAAAAAAGTTTGATGGATCTATATTATCAATACCCTTAATCAAGGGGCACCCGCAGAAAAAAAAATTAGGGGGGTCATTAACCCTGTAATTACAAATACCTTATGATTTTCCAATAACACAGAAAAATAATTTTACATATCTAGTAATTCTTTTTCTTTTTTAAAATCCAGGGTAGGTCAAGTGCCTCTTGCCCATTCCTGCTGGTGTCCATGCCCTTAATCATCTTAAACACCTCAATCAAATCCCCTCTGACCCTTCTCCTTTCCAGAGAAAACAAGTTTATAGATTTTAGTCTCTTCTTATAGGACAGTCCCACTATCCCAGGTATCACCATAGTAGCTCTTCTCTGAATCTTTTCCAACAATTCAATATCCTTCTTGAGGAAGGGAGCCCAAAACTGTACACAGTACTCTAAAAGAGGCCTTACAAGTGATCTATACAGTGAAACAATAGTACCCTTTGCCTTGTATTTAATATTTCTGTAGATGCTACCCAAAATCCTATTAGCCCTGTTGCTAGCTACAATTCACTGTTTTGATGACTAAAGTGATTTTTCAATCACAACACCTCTTTTTCTTCAACCACAGTATTTAATGTATTCCCATCTAAATTGTAACATTAATTTGAATTGTGAAAACCTACATGCATCACCTTACTTTATGGATAGTTAAACAACATCTGCCATGTATTGGCCCAATGCATCAAATGATCTAAATCTCCCTGTAAGTCTGCAACATCTTTGATACAATTAGCCACCCCAAAAATCTTAATAATGTTACCTTCTGGAACAATGTGGTGAGTCTTTCTAATGATATTACCCACTGGAACAGTGTGGTGAGTCTTTCTAATGATGTTACCCACTGGAACAGTGTGGTGAGTCTTTCTAATGATATTACCCACTGGAACAGTGTGGTGAGTCTTTCTAATGATGTTACCCACTGGAACAGTGTGGTGAGCTTTTCTAATGATGTTACCCACTGGAACAGTGTGGTGAGTCTTTCTAATGATATTACCTACTGGAACAGTGTGGTGAGTCTTTCTAATGATA